AACTTTTCAGTTGGATAGACTAGTGGGCCCTCAACGATTATTTTCATCGTTTTGAAAGGGAGGAGAATAGTTATTTGTACATTGGTATGTAAAAATGGATGAGACTTGATTTGACCTTTACTTACTTTAAATCGCATCAGCAAACCGCAGCTTAAGCACGGCTTCGTTCTTTCGTTTGAAAGCAACTAAGCCGATCAAACGATCGCGATGAGAATGGATTATATCCATTATGTTATGAATTAAATTTGTAGTAAAAAAAAATAAATAAATAAAATAAACAGAAAAAAGGCAATAATAACGAGAAAGAATTATTTATGCAAAATGATCGAAAGAAAATTTGCCCCCAATTGCCCGTCAAGAGAAGATGAAGATGAAAGGACAACCGTACGGACATAACTAAAAGCGATTACTCTACAAAATGTTGGTACACTTAGCATATTTACCGCAACGTAGACATGGTCGCGTTGCAAATCGCAAACTAATTCACAAAATCTGCAGAGATAATTCCATCCGTCGTCCTATGTTAGAAATTGGAATTAGTAAAACTTGAAACGCGGATGGCAAACTTGACATTTATATTCGTCGTTCGTGAGTCTACAAATCAGGTTTGCGAATGCGAGCGATCCGTGAACGTCCAACTACGTGTAAAATTGATGAAAGGCAAGAAAACAAAAGTCTTCTCCGAATGTATTATAAAACATGATGCGAATATTTATCAAGGCCATCTAATACTTAGATGCGAAAATGCTCTTAATCATCTTAGTGAAGACTCGATAAAGGTGAGACGAGTATCCAACCTTTGCGTCAATATGACTTTCGTTACCGTTATTGTTGTGATGTTTCTTTTGCTATCACATATCCATTCCCCGCATTCATCGTCTCAGCGAAACCTTAGAAATTATTGTTTTTCTTTTTGGTTTCCATTTCTTTTATTTTTTTTCTTTTTTAATTTTTTTTTGTTTGTTTTTTCTTTTTTTTTTTTTTTTCTTTGAATATATTAGAGAGACTAAACCGGATTGTGATTAAAGTGAAAGGCAAAATAAGTTTATAGCGTTTCAAATTTCAATCGGGAGGGAGGGAGGGAGACGATTAATCCATGGAGGATATACGTAAATATGTGTATAGTAATAAAGAAAGAAATGCCTGCACATACTTACACTCTGTGTGAACATGTGCAGGGTACGTGTACTTGTATTGCAATGCAAGCATTAAGACACTCACTCACAAATCGAATAGGAAGTGGAAATGTTATTTGCATTTTTTGTAGAAAATCAGGTTTTTATTTCATTTAAGTGTATATGCAGCTAAAGACGCTGATATACATGCGCTGACTATAGCTACGTACAAATGAATGGCCATAAGTCATATTTGTCGATGCGAGAGAAGGCGAGAGTCTTAAAATTTAAAATCTGGACAAAGAAAATGTATAATGACTGGTCCCACACTAGCCGTAGCAGTTACCGATCAATGACGATTAAAGCGATCGAGAATTCCAATAACCTTAACTTTTCTTTATGTCGTTCAGTCTTTTTCTGATGCCGACACACTCTAATTTTAAACAAATAGAAGGGTCAATATGTTCTCTTCTTTGTTACTCTTAAGCAAATTGAAAAGGTTGTGAGGTCGTAAATGCTAACTAACTGTTGCCACTAACTGATTGATCAGTTCTGAATAAAATACAAATTTTTCTATTCAAAAACGTAAGCAAGCACTTGTGTTACGTTGTTATGTATGTTAACATGTATATGTAAAAATGCAATGCAGCTTACATTTCGTCAAATTCGAATCGAATTGTTAGCGAGATAGCGAAATGGAAGCACGCCACACGATGCTGCTCGTAAATTTTCGAGGACGATCTGTAGCCTACAAGAAAAGTTCCAGTCTTTTGTACTCAAAATATCCCGCAAATCATGCATTTCTCAAATGACACTCATCTTGGAGTAGACGACTAAAACACCGCATTAAAATACGATTATTCTTAGTTATGCTTGTGACTGCATATATATATATATATATATATAACACCACACATGCATTCAATGCATCTATCAATTCATTACATTTTTTATGTTTAAGCACAAGTCTACCGATTGTTCGCTATTTCTTGCTTTTTGCGAAATTTGTATTTTTGCTTTGTTGGTTATGTTTACTGTGGCTATTTTTGATCTCCTACCCGTCGCCGGAGTATGCTCATCTTGTCATTTCGTTCAGTGCGAATCTATTCGATCTACTTCGATTCGATACCTCCCCTATCCATATGGCATTTAGTTAAGATCGATCACGCCATTATGCCCTCAAAGATGTAACAATTGTTGCAAAAATGTCCATTAATTTATGCGCCTTCTGTCACTTGTCACTTGTCACTTGTAAATGGCCCATGCAGCGCTGCAAAGAGAATTAGCCGTGTGTGCTACTTGGCTACTGAATGTATTCTGTAATCCGGTATGTCGGGCGTGAAATGGGATGCGAATGCTTTTCAATCGAAAGTCAATTTTCCCCAATTTGTCAATTTTCTAATCAAGAATTTGATGTGTGCGCGTTAGGCTGGAAATCTGCGAATATCTTAAGAAATACATTTTAATAAAAATTCGTTTAACGGACTCAGCTCCATTACTAGATGCGTGAATAGGTGGGTTCGGTGCACGTGTTTTTACTAATACAATTATTATTCACTATAATTTATAGTCGGCTAACTGGTGGCAATAATGGCCTCACCTAGGACATTATCCGCATGAGTGTCTATTTTTTTTCCTCATTTTTTTCTTCGTGTCTTTGTTAAGACGTCAATCATCTGAAATTCGTCTTAAAACGAATGAAATTTTTTACGTATGTTTTGTATTTTCTGACCAATTTCTGAAAGAGACACCAATTCGTGCGCACACATACATATATGTATACATACTTTCGACGCTTTCAAATGTTTGTTTATCATTATAAGCAGACATACATATATATGCATTTTTGAGCGAATTTCTAATCAAGCTTTAGGTGTTCGCACATTGTTCACTGTTGCGGTATGCTGCTGGGTAAGTATAATGTATGCTACTAATATGCCCAATAAAAATCGATCAGTCAACAAAGACACGTACATTCGTGTCTGTGTGTGTATGTGTGTGTGTGTGTATGTGTGTGTGTGTGTGTATGCGTGTGATACATATTTTCTGTACGCTGTCACTTAGAGTTCAATAATTTCTATAGATTTGAGTTCAAATCAAATAAATATATATATATATATATATATATATATATATACATATGAAAGTTAGACTTATTGTCAACTTCTCCTGAGTATTTCTTTTCAAAGGCTCGCTCACAATCTAAGTGCTTTTTAATCATTTTTTTAGAATGCAAATCCATTTCTAAATTCAATGCGATTCAAATGAATAATAGCAAGAAATTATTTTCCTTTATTTTTTTTTTTTACTATAACCAAAAGAAAATCTAGGGGACACTGGTGAAGGAAGTAACAACTCATGGAATATTTCGAGCTATTTGTAGGTTTGGTGGGCTTGGATTTTATTCGATGGAAAATTGCATTCTTCAAAAAGGCGGGGAGGGGGTCTATTTCAGATTTGTGGACTCCTTGTTAGCCTCCTTCAACACTTTTCTTATTATATTGCCATTATACTTAATCAACATGAAGCAAAATTTTTCAATTATCATTTTCTTTTCTTTTTTTTTTTCTTTTCATTGAATTCAATCAGTGATAACGATAATCGTTTTATAAGATAGGTCGAAATAGTGCTATTCATATAGTGTTCCCTGGTAGACTAACGATAGGATATCTGTAAATAGATAAGCTTATGTCTTTTTTTATCACAAGTGAAAAATTTTTTTTTTGAATTTCGAGTGCAATGGCGATAATTATTTTTTCAATTTTCTGGGGAAAAAATTTCACGATATCTTTATTTATGCGTCGCAAGAAGTATCAATGTGAAATGTTTGCTGGGTACGCTCATTACCGAAGTTCATACTTGTGTCCGTATATTCGGCTTTGTATTTAAACTTTTGGATATATATATATATATATATATATATACATATCTGTGTGTCTGTCTGTGTGCAGATATATGATGTGGATATGTTTTCATTGAAAGCGAATGTGTTTCGAAATATTTATATAAACATTTATATTTACATATACACATGTCTGTATTTATATAAAGATATACATATATATGTGCATAAAATGTATAAATTTGAAAATAAAATTGGTTAACGATTATGAAGGGAATGTGTTTTTTATTTTTTTATTTTTTTTTTGGTTAAGCGGCATCATTATCTCTCGCCTAGTGTCCATTATTGACGATCCCGCCATCTAGCGGAGATAATTTATTAACTTCTTAACGAATTTGAAATATAAAAACATTCAAAAATTATATTATTATCATTATTATTAGCTAGTTTTTTTTTTTCGAATTTTTTCAAGCATAAATAACAGAAAACTATTCTTTCTTTTCCAAGCACTGTTTTAAAAAACAATTTAACTTTCAGCAACAACTATGTACATAGTTACTCTTTGCAGTGCCGAACGGGCTCGTGTGTCTCGTGTACAGAAAAACAATAATTTATTGTGTACTCAGTGCTATGTTTAATGTGACACACTTTTACAAAAACTGTCGATTTAGATCTTAGCAATATATACATGCATATATATATATATATATATATATAGATCTACAGATATATATATATATATAAATATGTATATATATGTGTGTATGTTTGTAACTGTACATACACTATATGAAATCCTTAATTCTTTGTTCTGAGATTGCGAAATGAAAAATATTTGCTCTAGCAATGGCAAGAACAACAATTTACCCAAAGCAATGAATGATTTGGAAATCAAATAAAAAGTGGTATATCTAGTTTAGCTAGATTTCACTTTTTATGGAAATGGAAAAACAGTGTTGGAACTGTACACTCATTTTTTTAGTATTTTTAATTAAAGTTTCTGCTATTTTTGCCCATTTCTTACATTGTTTCGTCCAACTTACCATATTATTAATGGTGAATACAAACGGTCTATAAGAGATAAGTAGGAATGCTTTGCTTTTATCCTTTCCGAAGCTTAAGTAGTTTATAGAGACTTTCAAACTGCTCGGAATTCTCAAAAACCAACAAAATATACACGAAATGCAAAAGAACACAAAAAAAAAAAAAAAAAAATATATATACAAAAAAAAAAAACAAAAACTTTATACTAAACAAATCGAATTAGAGTTAATAACATTTGAATCTTGAATTAGTTTTTATGAAACTTGTATTTTATGAAATTTACTTTTATGAATATGAAATGAAAGACTTAATTACAATAAAAGCTTCAGTTTCTTTTTTCACTTCTGGATCAACAATAATCGTTGCTATGATCCCACCGACTGAATCGAATGTTTAAAGCAATGATTGAACACTGAAACGGTAACACTTCACAGCAAGAAATAAATTGTCAGTGGTGTCTTGAACAAATGAAAAGCTTAATGCATTTGATGTGAGCCAACATATGAGCGTATGCAGAGTTTTTTTGCATGAATGTGTATCTAACGAGAGCCGGGTGCAATACACAAGCCAAATAAATGTCTAAGGCGAATGGGCGATAAAAGCACTCGTGGTGGTAGCTTTTCTCTATTTTTTTGCAAGATCTCTTCAAGACGGCGTGAGTTGTATTTAAAGCCACGCTTTTACATAAATTAATCGATTTTCACTCCGTTTAAGCGCAACAATGTATACGTTACTGAGTCAACCAGTTTTTCTGCGTACGTCCATCTGTCTTTTGTCAGCGCTTTCATTGTCTCAACCTCGGCTTGAATTTGCAATGAAAAGAATGGAGCTCGAATTTCGCCAAGATAATAATAATCTAAATAACGCACTTCCATACGTCAAGCAGTATTCTAAAAATTTTTTGTCTCTTAGTCATTTTAAAAAATATCTTTTAATTTTCATAGCAGTGCTAAATATCCCCACAACATAGAATTTAAAGCAATATTCTTTCTAATTGCTCTTTGTCGAACGACCTTAAAAGACTCAAGAAAGAAACTTGGTCATTATATTTTTTAATGCATACATTTTCGCGATTTTGGACACAAACCGGGTGGAATTTTGGATACAAACCGAAAGGAATTTTGGTTATAAACCGAGCAAGCCAATGACAATTTTTTTACAATATATTACATATTTTGCAGCTGGCAACGTTTCCATTTTTGTTGGGCACATACATGCAAAATTCTTGATAATTGTATACGCTTATTCTCAAAGGGGCACAATCCATGCAAAATGATTGAGAACGAATATGCGTTTATTCTCTGGTAGCCAAACACCTGATATTCACAATTACTACAAAGATGTTTATGATTAAAAATTCTACATGAAGACCATAGCATGATTTTAAAAAGGATTATTATTAAAAACAATAGTGTTATACAAATAATCGTACAAACACCTTAAATTAGTAGTATGCACGCAACTTTAACACTTTAGCCGAATCTAATTGAACGTTGCTAAAAACGACCCCAAAAATGCAACAATGTTGGATAACTAACTAATAATTATTTTTGTGAAAATGACTACAACAATTTTAAAGGTTTTTAAACATTGATTTAGTCGTGGTTCCCACAACTTACGCATTATAGAACAGTGGCAGCACATAAAAACGTATGTATTTACCTTAGAAACTTATATTTTCTTATGGGCCAACTATCGACAACATTCCCACCGACATAAACTTATCTTAAGGATTTCCTATTAAGCGTTTACTTTTTTTTATTAAATTTGCGTATTTTTACCTATTGCGCTCCAATAACTTGAAAAGACATTTTGCACTTTTGTAAATAACTTGAAATATTCCTACGTAAGTATATTGATATAAAATATTCGCCTAGGGTGAATCCAGAATACCCCCAACGTAACTAGCCGAAAAACGTCTAATTTGCGTTTATCGAAATATCTTTGATTTAAGATCGATATCAGTTTTTGCCGGTAAAAAGCGAAGTTTTAGAATTTCATTTGCCGATTTGCATAGTATTTACATTATGTATATTAATTACATACCGAAAAATTTTATTCGAAGTCTTAAGCTTTATATAGAATGGCAATCAGTGTATTACTTGTTACCACCGGACATAAAAGAGGATTTCGTCTAGATGCCCAAGTAGTTGATAAATAATCAATCAATTTAACGTCAACATATCCTCTATATTAGGAACCTATTATTAATACTTTCTAGCGGAAATACAATACAATACAATACAATACAATAGGTAGCATCATCATGCGCAATCTATCTACGGCTTTCGGAATATTAAAATAATAACACAAAGCCTCGAGAATTAGGAAACAATTTCGAAAATTAAATAAATAAATGATTTCTGCATCATACAGTAAAAAATAAAACTAATTATCGTTAAAGCTTTATAAATTTATTTATTATTTAATATGCGACTGAGAGGACATTATATTATTTGCAATAATTATATTTGGATTGGTCCCTCAGCAGATATAGCCATTTCGTTATATTACACAGCTGTTTATTGTAGTGTTGCAAAGTTCAATTCTATAGTGTTTTGTTAGGTTTTTTTTTCTTCACGAATGGGAAATAAGTCTGACAGATAAAATACAACTATTAAATTTGGGCGAATTTAATATACGGCGAAATAAAAATGGAGTCGAAAATTAATAATGGCGAACGAATGTCTGAACGTCTTAATTGTAAAATAAGAAAAAATTCATATTTAAAGTGAAAAAAATAAACCTTTAACTACAATAAAGCAAATAAATCACAATATTTTTTGTTATTAGATATTTCGGGATCAGCATAAAAATCATATCAAAGAAAAAAGTCTAAGAGCGGCTCAGTTTTAATAGGTGATAAAAATTTTCGTGGGAAAGAAAACCGAAGAAGCAGTAAGAAAGCAAGTTAAAACCATGACCCAAGTAATTAAAACGTGTATAAAAGTAAAGATTGCTCATTAAACAATATAAGTCAGTGTGGTTTTTCTTAAAGAAAAAATATGCTATGTTTGCTTGTCTATTCTGAGCAGTTCATGAGGCTGCTGGATGTGTGAGTGGTTAAAGCAAACCAAGTTAAACTATAAATTGATCGCAGTATTTCGTATTCCGCAAACTTTGTCGTCATCACTAATGCTACTTATTGTTCAATTATGAATTGGAAACAATCCTCAATAAAAGCGGTCAATTATGGCGGGAATTAATTCACGCTTTCTCGTGGTGTTTTATTAAAATAGTCTACATAACTGGATATATAATATTGCAAAAGGCAAGCGAGTAATGAAGTAAAAAAATATTTAAAATATAGATATGTTAATAATATGATATCACTATGTGCTAACCATTGACAATCTGCTGCCATCAACTGCGGCGAAATTATAAATTACATATATATCTTTGTCCTCACTTATATTTATTATTTAGTAATTTTAATCAGTAGAACGCATTAATGGACTGGCTGTAAGGAACATATGTATGTACATGTTATGAATCCTACAGTCTATATCCACAGGTTTTCGTATTCCCATTCTATTTGTGAAGTATGAACGACAATGCTGATGGGCTTTTTGTTTAAATAAGGTGCATAAATTACGGTTGGAGTACTTCAAAATTTTTGTGAGAGTATAATTCCATTAATTTTGTGGAACTTTCTCAAAAATATTAATATAGAATTAACTAAATTGGAATTTGTTATATGCAAGTATGTTTTTTTTGTTTTCTTTCCTTTTATTCTGTTTTCACACTCTTTCGTAAACAAACGTTAATATTGAATTACGGTCGTTCCGCAATGACGATATAAGGTGCTTAAGAGTTCCCGAAATTACGAAAATTGTTGTTATAAAACGTTCACACACACATTTGCAGTTCTCAAAATTACGATAACTATGTATCTGGCCGTTTGTTTGTTTGTTTTCTTTGTTGGTTTGCGTCTGAGCTGTAGCGAAGTGTCATTTTTGTGAAAATAATGTAAGCGAAAAATGAAAAAAAAATTTTTTGACAGAAAAAAGGAGTAAGAAAGTAATAGAAACAATATCCAGAGAACTGAAAGAATTTGCAAAATATTATAACCTTCAACAAAACCTAAAAATTGTTTAAAATTTATAGCGAATTCAGTAACAATAGTTTTAGAGGAGCCAAACAGAAAGGCAGACAAGCGTTTATTTAGTTTTGTCTGGTAAAAGTTTAGTGGTATACGTTGAAAATCATTTCAGTATCATGTGTGTGTGTTTCTGTGTGCCAAAAATTCCAACACCTTGATAATAAATGCTTCTGTACAAGCTTTGGAAAACTTCTTATTTCAAATAACACTAAAGATTTAAGAAAAGCATATATTGTGAGTGAAAATAATCATAAATAAAGCCATAAATAATACTTATTGTGCGTGGAAGGTATAATGAAAATAAAATACACATATACACACACAAAGACAGAAAATATATGTTTGAACGAGCGAATCTTAGTGCACAACACACGGCGAAACTGCCAAGCGAATATAATGAAAAAAAATTAATAGAAATCATTCAAAAATTGCTTTTGTAATGAGAAAAAGTCTTAAATGTAAGTTTTTCGCCTATCCCAAAAACTTGAAAAACATTTTAATGTAATTTTTGGCATACCGTCACAATGTTTTTGCGTTGTAAACATTATGAAAATAAGTATCAGAAGGAAAGTACACGCCTTTGCGCATTAGTGCGTTTGTTGCACGCCAACTAAACTACCACTTTAGAAGGAATTTTGGGCGGGGAGGGGGAGGGTGGCGGGATCTGAAAGATGAGTTTGTATGTGCAAAATAATAATTAAAGAAGGAAATAAATTTGTAATCTAGTGAAGTAAATAACTTAATTTACCATGTTTTGTAATTCCTCAACAAGTTCTTAATTTACACAGCTCCCAATTTTTATTATAGAGGATATTCGCATTATTGCAGGTCTAAAATGAGGTTGTGAACAAAACAGTTTCCAGCACTCAAGACACATACACCAAGCAATAGAATATTGCAATATAACGAGGAGGAAAGAAAAGTTTGTGTTGCTCTAAACTAACAACAACAACGGCAATAATATACATACATGTGTTTACAATTTGTCTTGTTTAAAAAATGTCACAAAGAGGTAAACGCGGCAATCATTTGCATCATTCACGTCTTGATGTTGAGCCCCAACCGCCTCCCACGAAACGGCGCAAAGGCCGGCCGCCTAATAGTGGTGGCGGCGGCACAACCGGAGGACTTAATGGGGGTGGCGGCGGTAGTGGTTTAGGGAATAATGCAATTAGCAGTGGCAACAGTGGCACATCAATAAATTTTGGCAATACTAATGAAATCGGTGCGCAGACACCGGGAGCAGCTGTTGGGGTTACAGACGAGCTGCCCAGCTCAGCAAAAGTAGCTGGATCTTCTTCAGCCATTGCATGGCAAGCCCGCTCAGTAGCTGATATTAAAATGTCAAGTATATACAACCGAAGTTCCACAGAAGCACCCGCTGAACTCTATCGGTTAGATTTTTATAATTACATTGACTATATGTTCCCTTTTTAATATTTTATCTTAACTTTCAGGAAGGATCTCATTAGCGCTATGAAATTACCAGACTCTGAGCAATTGGCAAATTTTGAATATTTGGTAGTTAATGACCAATGGAAACAAGAGTGGGAACGTGGTGTTCAGGTCCCCGTTAATCCCGATTCTTTACCGGAGCCATACGTTGAAGTTTTGTCTGAACCTATCGTACCAGCCGCTCGAGATTTTAAGCTGTAAGCCTTAATACTACTTACATAAATTTTTGTAGTAGTTTTTATTTATAAAATGCGTAATTTGAATTGTAGTCCAAAAAATCGCTTCCTGCGCATTAGCAAAGATGATACGTACTCACCGGAGTTGCATTGTTTGACCAATGTGGTCGCATTAGCTGAAAACATTTGCGCTTACGACACTGATCAAGTTGATGAGGCTTGGCTGAAGTTGTATAATGCAGATCGTGCCCGATACGGTGCCTTTTTAATCAGTGAGACGCAGTTTGAACGCGTCATAGAAGAGCTGGAGGTAATTTCTAAAGAGCAATAAATTTTTCATAAATGTACATTTATAATAACTTTCCTCCTCAGATACGGTGTTGGGAACAAATCCAAGTAATTCTAAAGAACGAAGAAGGCCTTGGAATTGAGTACGATGAAAACGTGATTTGTGATGTGTGTCGATCGCCCGATTCAGAAGAAGCTAATGAAATGGTTTTCTGTGATAATTGCAACATTTGTGTACATCAAGCATGTTATGGTATTACCACAATTCCTTCAGGTAATAGCATAAGAAGGAAATATTTTTCGGAACATAAATAAAGAATTTCCTACTATAGGACAATGGTGGTGCCGAACGTGCTCGATGAAAATTAAACCAGAGTGTGTGTTATGTCCAAATAAGGGTGGTGCAATGAAATCAACGAAATCTGGAAGGCATTGGGCTCATGTGTCCTGTGCACTCTGGATACCTGAAGTCAGTATTGGATGCGTGGATCGTATGGAACCAATAACAAAAATCTCTAGCATTCCTCAAAGTCGTTGGCATTTACTTTGTGTTCTTTGTCGAGAGCGTATTGGTGCTTGTATACAGTGCTCTGTGAAGACATGTAAGACAGCATATCACGTGACCTGTGCTTTTCAGCATGGTTTAGAAATGCGTGCGATTATTGAGGAGGGTAATGCTGAAGACGGCGTCAAATTACGCTCGTACTGTCACAAACATAGCGTTAGCAAAGGGAAGAAGGAGACCAACAATCAACATGGCAGTAGTTCAGGTTGTAAGAATAAAATTGCATCAGGCATGGGAGGTTCCGGAACTGAAGACGACGATTACCGCCGACGCAAGAATCGTAAATCAGATATGACTTCGGAAGAGCGAAATCAGGTTCGAGCACAACGTTTACAGGTTAGTATTTAGGACTAAAGCATATACCAACTATAATTTTTTAAATTTATAAAACAGGAAGTTGAAGCTGAATTTGATAAACACGTAAATATTAAAGACATAAGTTGCCATTTGTTTGATGTTGACGAAGAGGCCATTGAAGCCATTTACAACTATTGGAAGTTGAAAAGAAAATCACGGCATAATCGTGCCTTGATTCCTCCAAAATCTGAGGACGTAGAGATGATTGCCCGTAAACAAGAACAACAAGATATTGAAAATCACAAGCTTGTGGTTCATTTAAGACAAGATCTGGAGAGGGTACGAAATCTCTGTTATATGGTTAGCCGAAGAGAAAAATTATCTCGTTCGTTATTTAAACTGCGTGAACAAGTGTTCTACAAACAAATATCTGTGCTCAGTGACGAAAGTATAGCTAGCGACGGAATTAGTAAGTGTGTTGATGAACAATTTAGAAACGCTGTCATATATGCAAATGATGGTCCCACGCTCTATGACAAGTTTTATTCCTCCGGTGAAAAAAATACGCCGTGCCAATATAAAAGCTTGGAATATATACTAGAGAAATTGGTAGGTAATATGAAGAGCGGAGCAAAGAACAGCAGGAAAGTCCGAAGAGCATCCGCCTCACCTATAAAGCGAGCTAAAGCGAATACAGCATCCGCATCTTTGTCTTCTGGAAACACAGTAGACAAAAAGATACCCAAAAGAATCAATAATGGTGCCATATCAGCGATAGCACCATCGGCAACATCTACAACCACTAAGAATTGTATTGCAACTAACGATAGTAAAATTACCAACGAAAATCAACTTCAAAAAAGACGTGCAAGCATTCACAATGCAAATGCAAGTCGTCAAAACACTTATCCGGTTGTTACAAATAAAGTAACTGAAGCTTCGGCAGCAGTAAGTTCCAATGAAGCGATTCTGATTTCAAGAAGTCAGACTTCTTATGTTGAAAGTACTTCGCGGTCAATATCAAAACCTAATAAAGTTCAAGTGAAAAATCTCGAAGAAAATTCTTCTTCTAACTCATCTGGCAGTTCGTCTTCAGACGATGACGACTCTTCATCAGATAATGGATCGTCTTCGGATAGTGGCAGCAGCAGTGGTATGCAGAGTGTATGTAGTTCATCGCCAACTGATTCCTCCTCAAGCGACAGTGAAACAGCACAATCATCAACGGTGCGTAAGCCGTCGCCACGAAAAATAGCACAACAAAAGAGGCAAAGCTATTCCCGCTCTTCCGTTGACGTTCGAACAAAACAGAGGAGGAGAAGCGCCATGGCGACTTCTTCCGAAGCAGCTGTTTCCGCTAAAGAAGCAAATACAGTATCAGAAATAACGACAGTCCTTTCATCTGCCAGTGAAAACGAAGCTGACAGGGTTACGAGGGAAAATATTTCGTATGTACCTGCTAAACAACAACAACAATCTAAGTCAAATACAAATGCACAGAAACTTACGGAGACTTGTAAAGAAATCGCCACATCGGCACTCACATGTCTTTCAGCGGAAAAAGAGAAACTAAAGCACAAGGACATCATGAATTCACCTATGATAAAACGTTCCAAATTAGAGGGGAAAGGTATGGAAGAGACGGCCTTCAAAGGCGATAAAAGCAAAACGGTAGCTTGTCGAAAGCCTATGGGCGATCAAATCTACTCTGATTCTAGTAGCTCATTTGACACCGAAGACAATGACAAAGATGATCGAACAGCTGAGAGTAATGTAAGCGATTCGCAAAACCAGCAAACAATTCGAACCAAAGCTGCTATGAAAGAGTTTACTTTACAGCAGCAAACGTGTCCTAAAACACAAAAACATCCTTCTAATGCCAAAAAGCCAATTAAATTGAATTCATCGTCAAAGACCACTGAATCTCCTACAAAGACCCATAAAAGGGACTTAACGTTCAGCTGTCAAAGGAAATCTGATCAAAAGTCACATAAGTTCATTGCAGATTTGCTGGTTGTACCGCAAAGGCAAGCGGCTAAAAAGGCATCCGAAAATATGCGATCGACGAACTTCAATGCTTCGGCAACAGCGACTTCTCTCCTTTGTTCTAATACGGGAAGCAATGCTCGAGAATGCGATATTAAAGCTCGCGATATGGCGGTTGCGATAAAACAGAAGGATGAGAAATGCGATAAATCACGCAATAAAGATAAATCAACCGGATCCATTTCAGTTAAAAGTAATGAGGCAAGTGATAAGCCAAATGTGAATAAACGTGGTCGTCCGCCGAAGAACAATAAAGAAATTTTTGAAGGGGTTGCATTACTGCCAAATAATCGAAGGGATCAGAATCCGGACCGCGAAAAGAAAACAATAGTATCGATTGCTGCTGACCAAATAGAACAACAAAGTGCCAAATCAAGCACAAGTCATTCCCAAATATCAAGCGATATTACGCAAAAGAATATACTTGTTGCTTACGTCCCTCAACGTCAAGCGGCGAAAAAAGCCGCTGAGCAATTAAAGAGTAGTAATAAGGCTGCAGTTTCTACGGAAATATTAGCCTCCGATGAAAAAGAACGCATCATCAATGAAAAAGATACCAAGTTGAGAACTCCTGAAACACGTTCGAAAGTGACCACAAGACGTATGTCTGTTCGTGAAAATTTGCCGCTGCCTAATAAGGAGCCAGTAATAGTTTCTACCAATAAAGATCTCACAAGTAATAGAAATCGTTTGAAAGATGATGTCTCACTCGTTCTAGCGACTCCGAAACAAACTATACAAGATAAAAAATTGCCTAAACTTTTAGTGACCTCAAGTTCAGAGAGTGGCTCTAGTTCCTCCTCTTCAACTTCAGAAGGAAGCGGTAGTACTAGTAATAGTGAAAGCAGTTGTTCCTCGTCTGAAGATGATGATGCAAGTGACGCTGAAACTGAAAAGAAAATAAATCCAATCGAGCGGTCGAAAGCGGCTTGCGAAAAAAGTCCGTGTAGAACAGAGGATGCCGGCGTAACACTCACTACATCAATTGCAATCGGTGCTAGTCACAACTTGACTCCAGCTCAAATTTCTTCACAAGCACAATCCCAGCAAAATAATACTAAAATAGATAACACGAAGATCACTGCAGAAGGTGTTGAATACCAAAAACACGGAAAAGACTACACTTCTCATGAGGAACAATCGATAAATATTTCAGTAAGCTCTTCATTGCGTACTCGTGCGCAGTCACGGTTATCACCTGCAAAATATGTGCAATCGGAATACAAAGCCATAAACAAACAACAAGGATTATCAGGAAGCGAAAGCTCGGATAACAAACCAAAGAAATCGAATGAAGCTTCAGTGGAAGCTACTCAATTCGACAACAATGACATCGTAATGGACAAGGAGAAACAAATGGAGGTGTCCCACAACACATCGAATGAAGTTTCTATAGCCTACTCTGGCAAAATATGTGAAAATAATACGCTAATAACGTCTAGCAAAGACACGCAACGGGATTTGCTTGATAAATTATTGGTTAACAATACAAAGGAATGTGCGCCGTCAAGTGAAATTGAATATGTTAAGATCATTCAGGAAAAAGAATCATCGAATATGTTAAGTACTTTGACAGAACCTGTAATCCCAAGAAATTGTGATGAATGCATTGAAGTTCCAATGGAAATTGATGAAGAGCTTACCACTGTTCAGACGCAGGCGACTTTGTCCGGTGAAGGTCGTGCATCAGCGAAACTAGATGAGATATTGGTCGATTTAGACGATCGGCCCCCTGCGGCACCAATACCAGCGTCTCCAGTTCCATCATCGGTGTGTTCAAATGACGATGAAAACGAACAACAATCAAATAATAGTGATAATAATCAAAATGACAATAGTAAGTTACGTTCCCGTAAACGTCGAAGGCGTAGGAGACGGACGAGAACAGGAACTGGTAGTCCCTTTATGTCAGCTGAAGAGGAGCATACTCCACACACTCAACACATATTGAACGAAATGGAGCTGGTTCGTGCATTAGAAGAAGAAAGAAAGAATGAAATGGCAGCAATTAGTGCTGGTTGCAGCAAATATTCAGCGTCATCATCTTCTCCTGTAGTAGCGCTTATTCCACCTGAACCTCCAGAAATCATAGAACTTGATTCTAATTCAAATTCAGATCAGCATACATCTCCTCCTGAACCAGCAGAGAATACGTCAATTCCGATGAAGTCGAATTCACAAACCGTGCCCGTTTGCGCAAAATCACCTTTGATTCAAGCGACTCAATCCCAAAACGGAGCGTCAAGTATGGCAAAAGAATCTCAAGAATCAGAAATGGCTAGTGAACCAGCATGTAACTCAACGATCGATAGTCAAAACTCATGTACATCAGAAGGTGCTCACCATCCCATTGTGGATACGATACTTGATTTGGAAGATAATGCTCAACAAAAACAAGAAGGAAAACGACAAGAGAATTCTGGTTTTTCCGACGATTTGATTGGAACCACTGCGTTTGATAAGCGCTCAATAAAACCTTTGGTATGCCAAGAAGCTGACAATCTTAACTTGTTGGGAGCAATAAATGAGAGAAACACTGAAAAATCGTTATCTCAAGAGGACAGTTGCCAGGCGACGCGTAACCTTTTAGAAAAGCTGCGTAAAACCAAACGAAATCGTTCCGATGAGCACAAAGAACCCGATCTTATGTTGCCGCCACCAACGCCAGCTATTCCGTCGGTATTTCCGTTCCATAATGCTGCCGATCCAGAAGACATAATTCACGTGCAAAAGGAACATGCGATGACTCCGTTAGAGACCAGCAGTAACAGTCAAGCTGAACAAAAACAACAATCCGTGAACGTAACCAATTTTATTGCAGCTGCTACTTGTTCTCCCATTAACTCTAGCAATGTTACCCATAATAATGAAAACAATCATTCGACTTGTCCCCCACAAGCAACAGGCAGTGGCGGTGTGTGTTCCGTCAGTAATAATATTTCGATTTTAGAAAACACTTTAAATTATGTAGGAGGAAGTAGTCGCGTGGTGCAAGCGCAAACGTCAAATCATCATCAAACCCAAGCTATAGATGCGACTGTTGCAAATTTCAATCAACATTTACCGTCGAGCACATCTGTCTCGAGAGCACCGGACGTTACCGATCTCTCGAATTTAATTCAAAAAGATATTAACAACCAGACAACATCAAACAGCAAGGACTCTGCAATTGATTGCTTTAAGAATAATAATTTGCCAGCAACAAGTAATAATACCTCAGTTAGTTCGTGTACGGAAATTACTCCGGACTTCGTAGACTTGCACGCGGCTGCTGTGAAAGAAAATATTGACTTTACGGCTTCCAATTCCGTCGACACAAATAAACTGGTTGTCGACTGTGACTTTGATGAAAATACTCGAATGCAATCACCGTATACAATACGAGCTTCGAGAATTTGGAATGAAAACGATCTAATTGCAGCCCGACGTTCCACATCACCTAGTTCTGTATCAGAATCGAACGATCAGCCCACATCGCTTGACTTACAATTACCTCAACAACCACAGCAATCACAACAAGAAAATCTGTCACGAGCACCGCCACAAACACCACATCAGCAATTATCGTTGCAAGGAACCCAAATGCCGCCTCAACAACATGCCATCGAACAAAATACGTTAAATAGTAATAACAATAGTAACAATAACAATAATAACAATAATAATAACAATAACAATGTTAATCAGCAGTTGCATATTCCGTTAGACTCGCAAAATTGCAAAAGCAATTTCTTCGATTCCATTAACAACTTCAATATTGATGCGTCATCGTTTCAGCGACATCATTCACTTCAGCAGCAACAACAGCATCAACAACAGCAACAACAACAGCAACAACAACAAACAACGCAGCCACAACAAGCACAACAAACACAGCAAACACAACAACAGCAACAACAAGGAGATAATCAACAAGCACATTCTCAATCTCCTATGGTTAACGGTATTGATGCCATGATTTCATTTGACCAGAGGTTTAATGCTCAGCAAACAACACCAACCACTCAGGCCGTAACCCACCAGCGACCGCAATCAGGTTTATCATCATCTACACAACAATTCAACGGTTCAGTTAATTTGTTTCATAATAACTCATCTCCCATGACAAATCTAAATCAGATACAATATGCAAGCAATGCCGTTTCGGCAGGGAATGGAAATGTAATGTTTGGCGCCAGTACAGGAATTAATAACAGTGTAGCCCATTCTGCGTCTGCATCGACTACTAGATCACATCAGCAGCCAAATTCAGATTTGTATGGTTCCAATTTAACGGTTGCTGGCAGTAACGCTACGAGCCAGTATGGTGGCGCGGCTTTTACTTCCTCAACACACAACATGGCTTTAACAGCTGCAATTGTAGGAACAACAGTCTCTGGTAGTTTAATAGATCACAGTTCCCCACATCAAACTCAAATTCAGTCGTCTAATCAGTTTGATTTAAGTTCGACCGGTAATAATGCAGCAGCCAGCTTCAATAGCATACACATGGGCTCTTGTACCGAAACGGTTATGAAAAATCATCAAACGAGTACGAATGTTGTTACAAAAGAATCGCCGTCGAAAGTTCGCTCATCTACAAGGTTCACTCAACAGTCACAGCAGTTGCGTAATACTCACAAATCCCCTCAAATATGCCAACATAAATCTCCGGGCAAATCGCCGAGGCAAATGGAGTTGCTTAGCAAACAGCTTCAACAGCAGTCACCTTTAGCGGAATTTACAAACTGTACTTCCAAAACGACAAAGTTTGATCCCTTAACGCATACATTGGCGGGAAAACCAAGGCAAAGGGCACCTAGAGGTACTGGGACAAATTCACGTGGTCGAGGACGTGGTAGAGGGCGTGGTCGAGGCAGCAATGCAAGTAATTCTATAATACCACTGCCTTTATCAATGGCAGAATACGTGAATGTAAATAATCTTGTTGGTACTCCATTTGAATTTAATTATGACGAAGATATGTCATCGACTGGAATGGAGAACCTTCAATCGCTTCGTGATCGGCGGCGTTCTTTTGATTGTCGTAACATTCACAACACGGATGCTCAGAAATTTCGCAGCCCTAGTTATACGAATGCTGCCTGTAAAATACGCAATAGTTCCGGACCAACATCCAGTAATGTATCAAGTGGAAATGCGACAGTTGCTGGAGCTGAAAATATAACAAATTCTAATGAAACCCTTAAAGGTATTGCGGCCGGCGGAACCAATTCCTCCGTGACAACTACCAATAATGATCAACAATGCATACTACACGCTATTGTTCAGCCCATGTTGCCTGGCCCTGTCGATATGCGGACATACAATCTTGGTTTTGAACCGCAGCATTCAAGTGCATCTCAGGAAGCATATAATAAGAATTTATTGGGCGCATTTGATTCAGGCACTGCTGATCAAACATTATCTGAATTTGATGAAGAAGATGAGAGGGAATTTCAATCAGCTCTACGCGCTACAGGTACTAATTCTATAAATGCTAAGCAATCGCAAACGTTAGCTCCTCAAGTACCTACAAGTACTGCTACAGATTCAGCGCTAAACAATCGTTTACCGTCTTATACAACTGCAATTAAAGACACTATCTCGGGGCACAGCGCTAGCACAATAGATAATATGTCAGTAGGTGCTGCAACGACTTTAACTAATACGTCTGTGGTAGATTTACTTATAGCCCCTGATATGCAAACCTCGATGGAAACTACTTCGGAGGACGTTTCGATAGACTCTGATACAACGTTAACCACCAAGGCTTCGCTGTCGGATGCTAGAAATCAGCTTAAGCTAAAAATAAAAGGCCCTCTAGCATATCCGGACAATTACAATAATTCTAATGCAATGACTCTTTCGTTGAGTTCTCATACTTCTAGTGTAATACAATCAAATACTGCCCAAGTGCAGTCTATGGTTTCTGCTAGTACTACAGTAAGTACTTCTGCGAGTGGTGGTATCAGCGGAACTAATTCGCGACGAATGCGTAAAAAAGAATTATTAAGTCTATACGTAGTACAAAAAGATACTATTGCTGATGATTTATCATGCGGATTACATCCCACCGATTCAAATTTAAAATCTAATGTCATGGATATCACACGGAAAGCAGATAGTGGAGTAAATGAAGCTTCGGAATATGGTTCTGAATTAACAAGTGGCAGTAAACGTTTTAAAAAGAATTCCAGTCGAGAGTTGCGGTCATTGGATGTGAATGTTTCTGAACTGAATGACGCTGGCACAAATGTGCCGGTGTCAGCCGATTCCCGCAGACGCAGTGCATGCTCATCTGGCAGCACTGATAATAACATTAAAACTGGTGCTGCTTGTAGTGCAGGTAAAAGACGTGGCCGCAGCAAGACAATAGAGGGCATAGAAGACGAACCAACACCGAAATTAAAAATCAAAATACGAAGTTTGGGTGATGGTAGTGCGAGCGCTACCACTGTTGGATCAGGAAATTCGGAAACTGTTGAAAACGCTCTTAGTACTTATGAAGTTACGCGAAGATCGATGGCTTGCCCTCCAAAAAAACGTTTGACATCAAATTATACACCAACTCTAGAGGATTTGATGCGTGACTCCATGAATTATCGTGACCAAGTTATGCAAGAATTTGGAGGTGATGACGACGAACGTACAAGGCGTAGCAAAACCGCTAGTATTGACGCTGGTGTTGATCTTAACCTGCATTTGCATACGAAAAAACCAAAATCATCGAAATCGAAAAAAGAGAAAAAAGAGAAAAAGCGGCAGAAAAGTAAAAGTACGGATAATGGTGGCGCTGGAAATGTCGGAATTAGCGTTCTCGACAATATGACAACAACTTTAATTGAGCAACCTATTAGTGCATCCCCTGGAGAGCCACCGAAATTAATTCTGAGAATTGGCAAACGTAAGATTGATTCAACAGCAGTAGAAAATTCATTGCTCTCGCCCGCTACAGTACAGATTGAAGAACCAGTTACAGCAGCTCCTATTCGTCTCAAGTTAGCAAGAGTCTCTGAAGGCGGTGGTTATGTAATTGGTGACAAGAAAAGCAAAAAAGACAAACAAAGTCACTCGCCACCTAACGTAGAAGAATCTAATGTAAATACAAATTTGGATGCCGCGAGTAGTAACATCGTAAAAACTCCCACAACAGGAACAACGGTGGAAAAATTCTGTGAGGACGCAAACACTTGTGCGGATACCGTTCAATCACCTGCTTTGGTATATAGCACGTATACGTGCACTGGTGGCAAAACTAATACGTCTCCATTGGCTAAGGTTAGTGCTTCAGATACCGCGAAAGATTCGAGCACAACGTCGCCCTGTCTGGTCATAGATTCGAGCAAGAGTAATGATATACAGGATTCTAATACTACAACAAGTTCCATACATGATAGCGGCCCACGTCTTGGTTCTGGCCCGCTAAGAACGCCAAACACATTCAATACCGAAAATAGTAATAGTTTATCTTCAGCTGGTAGCAGTCGCAGCAATCTTAGCAATTCAAATTCTTTGCTTGAACCCACTCTTCAAAGCTCCAATGGTGGCAACAATAATAACAGTGAGGGATTACTTTCATTGCAAAAAGACTGCGAAGTTAGATGATAAAAGTATTAAATCAATTATATCTTGGTTTATACACATTATCATTAAATTTAACGTAAAACACTGACAAGTAGGCAACAACAGCCACTCCATTATGTAAAGGCACAAATTGTGTTAAATTTTGAAACCATCTCGCTCTGTCCAGGACCGGCAATTAACAAATATCTGAGTACGCTAGGATAGGTCTGTCCAGCCAGCCAGCTATATAGTATTAAGAATAATTAAGATAACTCTATTTTAACAATTTTTTTTTTTTTTTTTTTTTTTTTTCAAACAATGAAATAGAAGGGTATGTGCAGTTTAGCTAAGCGCAAATTTGTTAAAACAGAGCTATGAAACTTTAGATAAAAGGGATTATTCTGACATTTTTCGAATCCTTAATATGTCCGCAATTTATACAATATTGTCTTGTTTCTTCCAATGATAATCCGTTATGTGATTATTATGATGATCGTCAGCGAATCGAATTTGGAAGCGTAATTGTTATTGTTATTCTGAATTTGTAAACGTAAGCTGAGTAAGTCTTTCCTCGTTGAACTGTTTTACTCTTAAAATTTTTTCCTTTCATTTATTTATTTATTTATGTTTTTTTTTTTTTTTGTTGCAAATTGAGAACAGGACTACATGGGATGCCGGCGGTACAGTGAAAAAGTAAAGAAAAGATATGTAGGCGCACTTATCGAGAAGCAATAATTGCTTTTGTTATTATTACTAAAAGATAAATATGAAAAAAACAAATGTACGTTAAGCGTACTGGAAAATAGATGTTATTATTTTGTTTATACACTAAAAATTAAAAAAAAAAAAAAAAAAAGAAAGAAGAGGAAAAATTTAATTTATAAACTATATTTTTTACTATAAATGTACATGTAAATATATTTATTTAATTTTTAATTTAGGATTCTATCGTCATATAGTTTAGCTACTCCAACAAATAATCATTAAATCGGATGATACGTATGCATACCGGTTTGCATATGTGTCACGGTGATCCTTGTGTAAATAAATGGGAAATAAGCCTAATATTTATTTTTTAATAGAACTTTGCAATAAATTCATCATAATTAAATATTGCATCACTACTACTGTATTTAGCACAGCGGTATACATAAATACATATTTAATATAAAACAGAACTCATGGGGCGACGTATTGACAAGTAGCCCTTCCTCCTTCCGCTTCTTCCATTCGAAATGTCAAGTACCGTGTTGGGCACTGTGTTGCAAAGACGTCGTCTATGGTGTTACAACAGATAACATTCACTTCAGAGTTTATTAAAAAAAAAGAAAAAAAAAAAAAAAAAAAAAAAAAAAAAAA